CCCCAACTCCCAGTAAATGGAATTCTAAATTATATGTTGCTGGTTGCTGTCTCTTGAGTATAAAAAGATGCTTTTAAACTGCTTGATTCTAAGAAATATTTCCTTCATAAAAGATTCCCAGGGCTGTGGGGGCAGAAAGTGGAGAAGTATATGACCTGCTACCAGCTAACCCCCATTGAACAGCAGTCTTTAACGACCTTCAAATCCAGTTATTTTTGAAGTGTTGAAAATGTGCATTCTCTTGCTCCAGTGGCATTTGATCAAAGAACTGTTCCGAATGTTTCTGCCGTTGCTATTTTTCGGAAGAGATGGTGGGTTCAACTGAGATAGGTGCTTGTATTATGTTGATGCTTTGGGTAGATGAATGGGAGAACTGTTCACTCAGAGTTGTTCTAAAGTGGCTACAAGCTGGGAAAGTACAGCAGCAACATCAAGGCTTAAGAATAACTGAATAGAACATGGCTTCAGTTTCTTTTTTGCTCAAAACTGAGGCAGACCCCTCCCAGCATAACAACTAATAATCGCTGCCAATGGGATGGCGATGTGCTTGGTATCTTTATACAAACACTGAAACAGATGAATGTTCATGACGTGTGTTCACTCAGTTATTGCTTCACTTAATTTGGCAAAACGGTAGTGCTTTTGGACCTGCTGTTGTAAGATAGTCCCAGTTTGGCGGGCTTGCGAATATTTCTGTTATAAATTTTTTAATATATTTTTTTTATTTTTCACATTGGCTGTTGTGGTAAGATAGCCTTTTAGCTCTCCTATTTGACTTCTGCTGAACAGTTTTTTTTCCTGTTTAGTCTCTTGGCTCTAAGGAAACTGTTCTGAATGAAGAAACGTGGCTGGATGTGCTAGTACACTAACCTTTCATTTGTTAAGTTTTCAGACAGCGTATGACATTAGACACTTGTTAAATCAGTTTGATGAATTTTGAGAGAGGTCATGAGGCTGAAACAAGAACTTTTGCTTTGTCATGCTTTGCTTGTAAATTAGGAGGTAAAATGGTGCATGCAATACTGCATTCTTTAAAATAAGTGTTTGCACTTTTCCATACTTTGGATGCTGTCTTCCAAAGAATTGATTGTTATGTTTCATCACTGCCTTTTACAGAGGCTCAGGATTAAATGGTACTTTATGGTAGGATTCAGGTAGATTGGCAGAGCTGTTTGGGATAGCTTGCATAATAAATCATTATAGTTTTTCTTTGCAAGCGTTAAATTGTATGCAGTATTTATTTTATATGAAATACTAATCTGGAAGCAAATATGGAAGCAAAACAAACTAAAATTTAAATGTCAAGAATGTACAAACCTAACATGGAATCGACATGTCTTCTGGTGACCATTTCAGATGGAACCTTTTACAAAACTAAATTCTCGAGTTTGTACATTTTTCTAAAGTAGTTCAGAATTGGGAGTGTAAGTGTATTTTGATTAAGTAGGATGTGACTTTTGCTAATCAGTTCTTTGCCACTACAGAGTGCTTTCATAGCCTGCAGCATCTGCCTTCCAAACTTTGTTTGCTGGTAGATTGTTCTGCAGTTTGTTTAGCAACAGCTGTTGGATTCGAATTCTAATGTATGAAAAATTGATGATTAACTTCTTACCTCCTTTAGGCACATAGAGATGAAATCCAGCGTAAATTTGAAGCCCTTCGTAATAGCTGCACAGTGAGTATTAAATACAAATCATTGAATTATTTTGAAATTAAGGATAAGGAAACAAGTGATTTACTTATTTAATCCTTGATGACACTAGTTCCTAATGTGGACTTCTGGCTTCAAGGTGTTAGTAGGAGCTAGATGGATTGGATTTGATTTCTTTTAGGTTTCAGGTAAACCTCAATTTTGAGGTTTTAGTCTGATCATGAAATTGACACTATTCTTCTTTTTGGAGAAGAAAGTAAATTAAAATATCTCATTGCAGTGCAGCTAATAAGAATGGTGTAGCAGCTGCAAAAAATGATTTTAGGTGAAGCTCTTTTCTGCTCACAAGAAGAAAAGATCTACCTGTCCAAATCTTGAGCTGCATTGTAGATCTAGGCCAGAGTGGAAAAGCCTTCATGCCACTCTGGATTTTAAGGAGGACTTTAACACTGTTTGAAGAGGCAAGAAATGTTATGGTTCCAGATAATACATTGACATTGTAGTCATCTGCTCAAAGAGCAGAGAGGACTTTAGGATCTTAATTTGTACCTTCTATTGCTTGAGATCTTTTGACATGTTTTTAGATTCATTTCATTAATCCAGGACAGATGTCCACGGGTTTGTCAATCAATAGGAATTCTTGCAGATTAACACTATCTTCAGAGTTATGACACTTGATGGAGAGCATCTGTCTTCCATGACGTGAATTACAAAAGGACCATAGTCCTCTGGATTGGCATTGATTGCTGATCTTTCTAGGCTTTTCTTTCCACACCCTGTAAGAAGGACTTAATTGCTGTTTTTTAAATCTTGACTGTTTCCCTACTTTCAGTGATTTACGCAAATTTAATTTTTCATGCTGTAGGACTAAGTACCTAATGTACAATTTTTCATCTTTCAAAAATACCTTTTCAGGATGAGAGTTACTCTGTCTTCCTCAGTTGCTCTTTAGCACTAAGCAAGGAGATTCCTCTGTTCTGTTCATAGAATATACTGATATGAAGAAGTGAGGAAGCAGAGCTTACTGGTAGAGCAGTGCTAACCTCTGTCTAAAAGAAATCCTGCACAAAAACTTCAGTTTTTGTTCCCTTTGTTTACTTAGATTGATCATCTAGCTCCATATGTGCTATCTTACATCCATAGCTATCTTTTTTTGTTCGATCTTGCCCTTTCTACAGAATGACAGCTTTCTATCAAAATGCTTGTATGATCTCCATGCAGGCAAAAACCAGTTGTGGAAAATCTGTAGCTTCTTTTCCCTGCATGGTAGGCTGCCTTTCAGAGATTATAACTCATTATCTGGTAACGCTTTGGCTCTGTAAGTGTGGTGAACAATCTCCAGCAGTGAAGAATGACCCATAACACTTCAAGAATGTTGAGAGCTTCAAAGGTTCTGCATAAAAGGATTTCTAAAAGTGTTGTGCATTGTAAGGCCCTTCAGTGGGATAAGTGGGATCAGACATCCTCATCAATAAGAAATTAATTAAATAGTTCCTAAATGAATAATACATGCTCATCATACATTCTCTTTCGAGCCCAGGAGAATGCATGTATAATTTAATTGACCATGGATAGAAGCTTCCTTGTTCTGTGTTATGAACAGTTCTATCTGTCCATCCCATCTACTGAGGAGCACTGAGAGAAAATATAGGACAATCTTTTATTGACAGTGAGGGATCAGGGAATGTTTATTATTGTGCCTTTACCAGATGTTTCAACCTCATTTTTATCTGATTGTGACCAGTATGATGCAAGCTTTGCTTTTTTTGTGAACATGTGATTCTACTTGAAGATGATTACAATTTATACTCCTTTTAAAATAAGATAACACTTCAAGGGAATAATTGTAATATGCTGCTACTTATGCAGCATGAGAATGAGTGAGTTTATTGCTTTAGCAAGTTTGAAAAAGATATCTTTTTAAAACTGAAATAAACTCCTTGAACTAGTCTGGCAAACTTTGGTATGGAATTATTTTTTATTTAATCTTATTGAGAAGCCCAAAACAGCATAAGGATTATGAAAGGGGGGGGGGGGGGGAAAAAGAAACATTGAATTGCCTCAGTGCTTTCATAGTATTCAAAAGATAAATAAAAATACTTAATCTACTTACTTTGGTATTTCTTCTGTTTCTCTAGCTTCACAAAGCTCACAGCTTCCGATTGTCGAGAAGGCTTACACCTCAAATGTGTGCCTGCTTTCCTTGTACCCTCATTGCACTCTTGTTCTTCCTTTTGCTGAGGTCTATGACTAAGTAAACATATTTTAGACTCTCCTGGTTGTTAATTATAAATTTGCTGTGTTTTGGGGTGCTTATATAGAGACCATTGCTATGTTGTTGGTCGTAATTTCTGCCTTGTTCATGAATTTATATTCAGTTGCTCTGATAGCTCTGCATTGTTTCATCTTGTGACATCTCTCTCTTACTATTGGGGGTCAAAAAGAAAATGCTACTTTTGTGTTCTCTGTCACTCAGTCGTGCAAGAAATAATATGATATGTAATTACAGTAAAAATTGTAAATTGTAGCACCTGCTGTACACACATACAGATCCATGTGGGCACACAAGAAGAACAATATTTTATCATAATCTTCTTAAAATGTTAGCTCATCCAGCAAATCTGTTGAGGGAAAAGGACTACTTCCCTACATTGAAAGAGTTATCTACCAAAAATATGATACATTTGAGCATTAAAAGTATTTTCCAGGCAATCAGAAGAAGATCTAGAAATAAAAGGCATTTTCTTAAATAGGAAAATTTACGTATTTGTCAGTGGTGTCCAACAGCCTCTTAATTATGGCTTGTTGTTGGATCATCGGCACATTTGAAGTTAAAAATGCAGCTAAGTTATCTAAATAATAGAATTGTTCCAAAAAGAAAACATTCAGTAAGCAGGTGGTAAAGTCTATACATTTTTAGAAGAATCCTATAAAGTTTTTACACTCAGCTTAGTAAAATACTATTGCTAGTCCAGGGAACCACTATCTGAATCTTCTAGTTTCTTTCAGGTACAGGCTGTTGCTTTTATTCTAGCAAGGAGAGTGTCATTTCTTAACACTAATTGGATATTGCATTTCCATTCATTCAAGATTTCTCCAGTAAAACAAGGTTTATCTCCCCTTCTTCAGGTTCTTTTGTCATCATCGTGTGTTCCTATCTTAAGCATTAACAGGCTTGATTCTGCACTTGTCTATGAGATTGGATATTCAGGCATTAAATCTGCAAGCCCATTAGGCTCATATATAATTTTAGTCATGGATAAACTCCTGCTGACTCTGGCTTAAGACCCTGATTCCACATTGGCTAGATGAGTTGGCATACAAGAATAATCTGTGTTCTTGAGAAGTTCCAAAATTATGTCTAAAGATGTTTTATGCTTTGATGCTAAATTATGTTGCAGAGTGAAGGGATCTTGCCCACTATAATAAGGCTAATACCCAGGCAAAAACTTTTATATGGCTTTGTTAAATTTGTAAAAAAAAAAAAAAAAAAAAAAAAAAGGCTGTTGGGTGGGAGGGGTTATCCCTGATTCTCATGTCACACAGAATGTGATGGCATATGCCAGTTATAGGCAAAAATGGAGTTTTGTATTTTTTGTAGCCTGACAAAAAGTCAGATGTCTAGGGTGTTGATGCGGTGTTGCTGTGAAAGAGGCTAATGGGACCTTCATCATGGATGATGACAGTGTCATCATCATTTGAGGATGAGGCTTATGGTTGGTAAAGGCAGTTCGTCTTCTGGAAACTAGGATGGAGGAGTACAGGAGACTCTGTTTTAATAATGGCTTGGTGTGGGGAGGAGTGCAGACTGTGCAATGTCCTACTGCTCTGCAGCTACTAATGAGAGCAACGGACCCCAAGCTAAGCCACGATGAGTGTTTGGAGATTGAGATCTCTGTGTGAGGTATGTTTCAAGTCACAGATGTTGTCTGACTATGGAAAGGGAAGAAAGTGAGGAGTTCATTGTTATATATTGATAAAACAGGTAGAGATACAAGAGTGGTATCTATCTGCAGCTGTCTTCGTTAAGAGGCTTATTATTCTGCTTCATTACAGTGGTTTGTGTTTCTCCACTGGTAAAGCTTTGTCTCTTGGATCCAAATGTGATAGTTAAGATGAAGTGAGCCGTCTGCCTGCTCTTTCTTCCTCCTCACAATAATTTGAACCTAAGAGATAGCTTTTTCTTTTTTCCTACTTACTTTTGACATCTAGCTTTCTAGTAAAGGTTAGTGGGGGTGGGGAGGAGTAGAAATGGATAGAATAAAACTATGTCTGCAAGTTCTGAATTAAGGTTGTATGAAAAAATTGCATTAAACTCCAAATAACATGCTGCTGATAGCATCCTGAAACAGTTAACCTTGCTGTGTCCTAGCATTTTCCTGCATGTTTGTTAGTGGCACCTGAGAACTGAGATGTCTTCATGAAGGAATAAGGTTATGGCGAAGTTTGCAAACTGCAGTTAGTATTCTAAAACTGCTTCTTTTTCTCCTTTCCCTCATTATTTTGCTTGTGGCTTTGATACATGGAGCATATGGATTAAATTTTGTACGTTGCGTCTGGTATGCAAATCTAATCATCGTGGCCTTGAACTGCTTGTTGCTATGACACTTAATTTGTGATCCACACCTGGAGAAGCTTGTAGGGCCAGGTATAATAGCTGTGGATCTGCACAATCTCACAATACAGAAACACTTTGCTTTTCTGAAACCGTGCAATGGGGAGGGAAGCGTGCTGAATATGGTCACTTTTCCTGAAGAGCTGTTATGCTTGGGTTGCTCTGTAATATTTAAAAATGAGATACAGTCTTCTGTATCAGTATAAAGATAAGTTGTGCTCTTAGATGTGGCATGTAGTGAACAATCTGCCAAGATCAGTGTGGTGTAGTTAGATTATATCTCTATTTTGTGGATTAGTTGTGATGAAGATGTGCCTAGATTGAAGAGAAAATTTCAGTTGCTCCGTGAGTGATGATACAGTGGCACAGATAAGGCTGCACAGATTGGCTAGAATTGCTTTTCCAAGTTTTCGAGTGTTTATAAACTTTGAATGTGAAGATTTTTGTAATTATACTATGGATTTCTAAAGGATATAATAGTGTTTTCTTACAGACTTTTCTTTAATGTACTTACAAATTTAACTCCAGAATAGCTCAGAAGTTGGTTGGTTGGTTTATTTGGGGTTTTTTGCCTGGGGATTTCCTTAACGGAAAAGAAAAATACCTAAAGCTATTAACTCTTTTCAGGTCCAGGACTCTGGCATAGGTTGTATGCATATGTATATGCCTAAGACAATACTTCCTATCAAATGTGGTTTTTGGATCTGTGTTTCTTTTTTTCTTGGTTCCCACAACAGGCATATCACACCATGTCCCATTTTCCTGTGTCAGTATGACTCATTACTATTTAGGCTTTATAAACTCTGCAACCCTGTGTTGGGCTATACATAGCTGCAGATAACTTTTAAAAATTGGATTTGTCAAGAAATTTACCCTTTTCCCATGAAAAAAGGAAACCTGTACCAAGAAGAACGAGTTTTCTTTCTTTGAAAAAAAAAAAAATCTATCAATCTATATCGATTACATTATATAGGTTATAATATATTTGGAATTTAAGCCAAGGCATTTTGGAGATGTCAACAAATATACTGTTAAGAAAATATTCAGGAAAGGAGAACACATCACTTCTTCTGGAACCCTTCTTGCTTGACTGCTTTGTTATTTGTCTTAAGTTTTCCAGAAATACCCTACTAGATAAAATGTAACAGTGAAATTAAAATGGTCTGCTTTAATTTTAGTTATATGCAGGGTAAGAAGTCAAAATCTCAGAACATAGAATAAAGACGAATGGGAGCCTAACTTCCAGCCCTAAAGGGATAAAATCAACTTGGAATACAGCCAGTTTTAAAAAATTAAGTAGTTTGACATATTAACTCTGCATGTCACTGTATCGATTTTGTGTTTCCCTCATCTATGCTTTCTTGTATTTCAAACCCAGCTTAATAATTTTTATAGAAAGTACTTGTACTAATATATAAAATAGATGTGGAAGAAACCATGGATGTATAAAAGATATCCTAAAAATGCCTAGAAGTTAGTAGAAATCTCAGGTGTTACTTCTAAGAATGGCAGGTAAAACACTGTAAAAGCAAATGTTCTTTTGTTCCTCTTTGTTTATATAAATACATTTCTGAGTTCTTAACCTACAGCAATATAGACACTAACACATCCTTATGTGTTATGTGAACAGTCTACGTTCTTTGAAAACGATGCATACAATACAGAATAAAATGTATTTTGAATAGGGCAGTAAAAGTGGTCAAGAAACAACCTCATGATCAGATTTTCATTAGAAATGTTGTGTTTTAGAGCATGAATCATTTTGATTTGACCCTAAACATATGGGTAGCAGGAACTCCCCTTCACCCAGCAGGGACTAATGTCAGTTGGACTTTTTCTGCTGACAGTTTAAAATCAAACACTGTTAATTTAGATCTAGGAGAGGCATGGTAAAAGGCTGCCAATATATGCGTTACAGATTCTTCAAAAAGAAATGGTTGTCATCTTTCCAGATAGCTGAGAAGAGCTGTATGCTCTGCTGCTTTTAGATGTTTAAGTCCTTGGCTTGCGTAGGAAATTGGAACATTTAAATTTGAATGTGTGGCCAACTGTGCTCTGGGATTTTAATTTTTCCCATTTAATGAAGTATCGTATTCACTTTTCTTTGACATCTAGGGAAAAATGCCTCTAGCACATATTTGTAAGAGTTGAATATGAATTGAGTAGAGCTTTCCCATTTCTGAAATTCTTTTTATTAAGCTGATTTCAAGATTAAACTGAGGTTCCTTTCTCTTCTGTTGTGATGACGTTGGTTTTGAGTTAGGAGGAGATACAAGTATTCATCCCTCCAGTGCTCATGGCCTTTCATTCATAAAGATCAAATGGGACTGTGAAAATGGCCCACCGTTATTCATATTTTTCTTTAAATTGAAGGGGAATGTGGTTTAAAGCATATAGTATAATGCTATTCTGATTAAACAAATGGGTGCTTCTACTTCATTAAAGGCCAAGCTATTGTCCCTGTTGAATTTTTGCTTTTCACTCATTTTCCGTTAATCTGTTGTGCTGCCACACCTTTTTCTTTCTTCATATATCCTCTGCTGCCATCCATAATGCTGTTATTTTGGTAGAATATATTTCTTAAAATTTTTCTCCTTTTCCTAGTTACATACAGTGTTACATATAGTAATATAAACGATTGCTAGGCAGATTCATCAGATTGTACTGCCTCCATTGCACCACTTGTTCAATTTTCTTAAATATCACATTTTGAAAGCCTCTGTGAGAGGTTATTAGCCTCATTTCACCTAAGGGGAAATTGAGGCAAAAAAAGGTAAAGGGCTTTGGCAAAGGCACACTGTAAGTCAGCAGCAGATCTGAGAATACAACCAGAACTCCTGACTCCCAATCCCGTGCTTTAGATGTGACAGTTCTCTCTCAAATAATAAATTGCATTACAGCATATTTATACTCTAAACCAAATTAAAAAATCAAACTATTTTCTGTAAGAAACAAAACTCTATTCCTAATCAAAGTACACTCCTGTGCATAAAATCCACCATTAAAATCTTGCTTTTGTTTAAATTTGAAAAAATTTAAAAGCCAGGTTGTCTCCTTGCTTGTCAATAAACGGTTCTGTGAGAGGAGAACACTTTTTCAAAAAACTGTACTCACTAACATGTAATTTAATTTACATTTCTTTCTAGGTGATTACGGATTTGGAAGAGCAGCTGAACCAGCTCAGTGAAGACAATGCAGAACTGAACAATCAGAATTTCTTCCTGTCCAAACAACTTGATGAGGCCTCAGGGGCCAATGATGAGGTTGTCCAGTTGCGAAGTGAAGTTGACCATCTCCGTCGGGAGATCACTGAGAGAGAAATGCAGCTTACCAGTCAGAAGCAAGTAAGGCTTTTTAAGTCTGGATCATGATCTCTTTGTAATAGCTAGCTAACTATCTGAAAGGCAAAAAATTCTTTTAAATCTGGAAACCTATAAGGAATGAATGTGCTTCCAGGGGCAATGGCTTAAACCATTTCTCGTTTAAGCCTTCCTTCCCAGAGCAGTTGAGTGGATGGAACTTTTTTGTATTTCCCATTGTATTTTTATGCAATTTTATTTAGAAATTTTGCACTCTGAAGATATTGTAACTTAGAATTATTCATTTTAATTTTTTGACCCTGGAAATTTCAAGATTTTCATGAGGTAGAACTGACATTAACGGCAATTGCAAGTGAATGTATGGTAGCCTTGAAATAAATGGGTTGTGATTTACCAGCTTATGTTTGCTGCCAATTTGCATGTACTGTAATTTAAATGGTAAGGCTGAAGCTTAAAGTGCACGCTTGATGTGGGATGTGAGAATTGATAGGAGGATTTATTTTTAGACTATGGAGGCCTTGAAGACAACATGTACAATGCTGGAAGAGCAAGTAATGGACTTGGAGGCCCTGAATGATGAACTCTTGGAGAAGGAGCGTCAGTGGGAAGCATGGAGAAGTGTTCTAGGGGATGAGAAGTCCCAGTTTGAATGTCGAGTTAGAGAGTTGCAGAGAATGCTGGATACTGAGAAACAGAGCAGGTCTCTCCCCCCCCTCCTCCTCCTTTTATTTTATGAAAATGCTCTATAGAAGCTAGTACAAAAATTATATTTAGAATAGGATATGGGAGTTGGAACTAAATAGAAATTCTTGTGAGGTAGTTCTAAAAATGGTTTATTAGTTAATAGTCATTCACCAGTTGTATTGTTCCTTTTGTTTCTTTGCAAGTGAGCAATTCATGGGGAGTGGTATTTATCACTGTAATTTCTAAAATGTCTCGATGTATTATATTCTACTTTGTTATATGGAAAAATAGTCTTTGCTCCTAACTGTTCCTGTGGGATCTTGAAATTTTCAGGCTGTTGTTCTAGCAGGGGCAGGAACAGGGTTATATAATATAAAAGTGTTGCAGCAAACAGTCTGGCTTTATAAAGTAACATCTTGAATTTGAGGCAAACCCCTGAAAGAGTTATTGATGCTACTGCATGCTAGGAAGAGGTCAAGCCCAGAAAGGAGTTAGGTAACATTATTTTCCATTTTAATACAGAGTGAGAGCAGATCAGCGTATTACTGAATCTCGCCAGGTGGTAGAACTAGCTGTCAAAGAACACAAGGCAGAGATTCTAGCCCTTCAGCAAGCACTAAAGGAACAAAAACTCAAAGCTGAGAGCCTTTCTGATAAGGTAAGTAACTTCCAGCCCTAGGCTTTCATAATTAGATGAGAGACTTTTCTGGAGATATTGCTTGTAGAAAAGTGGTCTTGAGCAGCTTTTTCAAGATGTTAAAGCAAATTAAAAAGACTGGAGGTCATAGAATAGAATTCTATCTTCAAGCCAAAGACCTCGGGATTTCCTTTTTCAAAAGACTAAAGTAGAAAGCAGCCTATGATGCTGGAGCGTACAATGAAGTCCTTCAATTATTTGATATCTGCATTTGAGCAATGGCATACCAAAATGCTGTTTGGCTGGTTTTCCTCCTTCAGTAAGTAAAGGATAATTGTATCATTTTTCTTTAGTGTGTACTTGGTGAAGTTGGATTTTAAGATTGTGGAACACTATATTTATTAGCGTTCAATGTTATTCTGACCATCTATCCCCCTGCCTAGCTCAATGACCTGGAGAAGAAGCATGCTATGTTGGAGATGAATGCACGCAGTTTACAACAGAAGCTTGAGACAGAAAGGGAGCTCAAGCAGAGGCTTCTGGAGGAGGTAACCTTGGAAATTCACGTTGTAACTTCAGAAGAAGGTTCCACCTCTTGGGGGAGCGAGGGGGGGGAAGTTGTGTGATTGGCAGTGTTTACACATCCACCATTCTTCTATGTAACTGGAGAAATTAATGAAGTTGGAGGTATTGGGTTTACTTAAAACTTGGCAAAGTGTACGGCCATGTCAGGGAGCAGTAAAAGCGAGCTGTTCCTCAGGGGAACGTGAGTTGGTAGCCAAGGATGACAGCGAGTCAGGTAAGGGGAGGGATCTTGCAGCCAGTGGGCACAGTCCCACAGAACCTGAACAGGAAGGTCAGAGCAGGTTTGGGGAAGGTAATCGGGTTCAGCCAGTGGCCCAGTGATCACTACAGAAGCCTGTATTGATGAGGCACATCCTAGGTCAGGTCTGCAAGGTAAGGTCTGTGCCCAGACACATCATTTTGACAACATAGCTCTGGCCAGACTAAGTGCAAGCTCTGGAGACAATGTGCTGAGTGTGCATGGGTGGATGACCCAGGTGAGGCTTCTCACAGCTTTTTTCCATAATGTAGCTTGGTTCTCAGGAGTCTGATCCAAGGTTACACACCTGCACCACATCAGTGAGACATTGAATGCTGGCAGCCAGACCTGGGTAATGGGAGAAGAAGTTGCAGAGGAGGATTTCAGGGGAAAGGTGGTTACAGGCAATTAGACAGGGTAGTTAGAGTCTTTTGGTGTACTTGGGGTACTGACAAGTTATCCCAGAGTTGAGAACTCCATTACGCATCACAGTGAAAGATTTCTGGCAAGACTTCATAACATGAGTATTAATGGTTTTCATACTCAGAGACTTTCTCATCAAGAAAAAATAAAACCTGAAAGAATTAGGAGTAGTTTATCATGTTCCCTTTCCTGTTCTTAGTTGGAGACAAAGATGTAAACAATTGGCCATAAAAACGAGCAGTCAATCAAACCAAAACACTGGCCTTTGTTTTCCTGTTAACAGCAGGCAAAGCTGCAGCAGCAAATGGATCTGCAAAAGAATCACATCTTCCGCCTAACTCAAGGTCTGCAAGAGGCTCTTGATCGAGCAGATCTTCTGAAGACTGAAAGAAGTGATCTGGAATATCAGCTGGAAAACATTCAGGTGAGAGTGAGGAAACAGTGGGCAGGACTCTGTGCTCCCCATCTGAAAACCCCACAAGGAGTCTACTGTTTCTGTGTGACACTTTCCCTATACTATTTTTTAGCTCTGTTCTGCTATTGAGTTATCTGTTTCTTCCATTAGGATGAAATTTCTTTTACGTGTGTGTGGTTCACAGGTTCTCTATTCCCATGAAAAAGTGAAAATGGAGGGCACCATTTCTCAGCAAACCAAACTCATTGATTTCCTGCAGGCAAAGATGGACCAACCAGCGAAAAAGAAAAAGGTGGGTGAAAAAGGTTTGAGAGGCATGGAATGAAATGATGGGTTTGTGGTTAGTTATGTGCTGTGTATTCATAATATTCTGTTTTATCTTCCGTTGTGTAACACAAATGTGTCCTCATTAAAGAGCATTCTGAGGCGCTGAACGCAAACTTTACTAGGCAGAATGTGTTCTTTGTGGCTTTTCCAGTATTTTGTTATGCCTACAATACTTGGGTTACAATCCAGTTAGCTACGCATCAGTGAGGCTGTAGGAATACAGAATTTTAACCCTGCCTTTTTTTTTTTTTAATGGTAAGTATTTATGTGTGTAGGAACATATTGTGTATCTAGAGTGGTTGTCTTGTAGTTACAGCACAGGACTGATTAGTCAGACGATGTGACTTGTGTCACATCTTTGTCATAAGCCTTTCTGTCATTTTGAATTAAGTAATTTAATTTTAACCACGTATTTTGAGATCCTCTGTTTAGATGCTTTCGGAAACTCAAGGTGTGAGTACTAACAGGTAACGTATGTCCCTCTTTAATCCATATCTCAACATTTTTTTCTCCAGTGCCAATATGAACTAAAAATCCATCCTTACGCATATCAGAATTACCATTAGGCCCTCTGGCCGGACTGCCACTAGCTAGTTTCACTTTGCCTAGTTTAAGCCATCTCTTACTAGGAGTTAGGAGTTGTCTGTGTGTTTCTGTTGCTAGGGCCTGTTTAGTCGGCGGAAAGAGGACCCTTCTTTACCCACACAGGTTCCCCTGCAATACAATGAGCTGAAAGTGGCACTGGAGAAGGAGAAGGCTCGTTCTGCTGAGCTGGAAGAGGCTCTACAGAAAACACGCATTGAACTCAGATCTGCTCGTGAAGAAGGTAGGGGTTAACAGAAAAGGTGAATCTGGAAGGAGACACACGTTTTTGGTCTGAAAACGTGCCTTTCATTGTATGCCACAATAGCAGTAACATATGCTGTTTAATTCTTATCTACTGCAGTGAAGATGCAGTAAGGCTACACTTGTTTTTTTTCTGCGGGTTGTAACCACTGAATGGTTACACAGAACCACTGCTATGAACTAGTGTTTCATACTGGTTATGTTAATGAGTGGCATTTATCTCATCTATAGCTGCTCATCGGAAAATATCAGACCACCCTCATCCATCTACTCCAGCCACAGCTAGGCAGCAGATCATCATGTCTGCCATAGTCCGCTCACCAGAGCATCAGCCGACTCCGATCAGTTTGCTAGCTCCACCCTCCAGTCGCAGGAAGGAATCTTCCACACCAGAGGGTAGGTTCCTAGCGAACTTTTCTGTTACTATTTTTGTCTACTATTTCAATGCTGTCTCTTTTGTTTAAATTTCAAAACCAGTTTTTTTCATGGTAGGAATATTAGATAAGTTTTGCTTTCCTTTTTGTTTTAAAATTATTTGGATTATATAATTTATTTCTGAAAACTTTAGCAAGAAAGTAAGTATTAGCACGAATTGTTTTAAGAACATATCTTTTTTTCAAAAGAGTATGTTTACTGTACTACACTCTGCATTGATCAAAAGGATTTATGTCTGTTTCCTTAGCAGTTAACATTTTTACTTACCTAAACTGCAGATTTGTTCTGCTGAGCAGAAAGTTTCTATCAAGACCTTTTGGTGAAGGGAAAAGACTTTGGTTAGGCGTAAAAGGAAGATACCAGGTCACAGATGACATTGATATCCTATTAACTAGAGAAAGGGGATACCCTTCCATATCCTTGAGAATGGAGGAGAGAGGATCATCAGAAACAGTTAAAGGATTGAGGGCTCTGCTTTTTTATTCTTAGTTAACCAGCATTCCAGAGTGAGTGTTGAACCCAGAGACTCCAAACTAAAACCGCCAGCCTTTAGCTGGAAAAAGCCGGAACCCACAAACTGGTCCAGCCACCAGAGACAGCGGGGGAGGCACAGGGTGCTATGAGGATGGGTAACATTGGTATGGGAAGATGTCCTCAGAGGCAGATCATGGGCAGGGAAGAGAATCACCTTCACCAGTAAAAGACCACGCCTTGAAGGATGAACTGTGTTCAATACAGATCTACTAACAGAGGTTTTAGGTGTGCTTTAAGGTACGCTGGCACTGATGGTTAGCATGAAGACGGCCTGCTGTGTATTGATTACAACAGTATAGGTGTTGAAGGGTTTGTTAGCTGTAAGCAAAATTGAGAGATTAGTTTAGCACATTGTAAGAATTGGAGCTGAGTGCAGACTTGAAATTTTGATGGTTTGATTGACATAATCTTGCTACACCAAACATTAGCCATTTCAGTTCTACAGTCTGCTCTCAAGCGGCATATTCTGCACATCTGTATGAGGTAATTACTGAGGTGGTAATGTAGCTTACGATTTGCAGATTGCAAAGGAATTCAGCAGGGCTTTGATAGAGAGATGTAGTCACTTTTTATCACCTGGGTCTTAAAATGCCAAACCCTACTATAATTTTCATCCCTGTCTCAGTTTTCATCCTGATAATAAATTTTGTCCCTTCCAGAGTACAGCCGACGTCTGAAAGAGCGAATGCATCATAATATCCCCCATCGTTTTAATGTGGGGCTAAATATGAGAGCAACAAAATGTGCAGTGTGTCTGGATACTGTGCACTTTGGACGGCAAGCATCTAAATGTCTTGGTAAGAGCAGCGTGTGTGCATAAACAAGGTGTAACTGGACGGTGGAATGAGAAAGCACCAGCTGTCTAGAACAGATTTTCAGTGAAAACTGAAGGAAGGACCAAGTATGAAGACTTTGAAACTAGCTGGTGCAAACGTTCTACATTAGAAAACATCTGATGATTTAGAGTAGAAGGAGATTCTAGAAAAGCTGGGGTTTTGTGCATTAGAAGTTGAGACAGCTGTATCATCTTCTTTTTTTTTTTTTTTTGTCACTTAACAGAAGGTTTTCTCTGTCCTTTTGTCAGAATGCCAGGTGATGTGTCACCCAAAATGCTCCACTTGCTTGCCAGCTACTTGTGGACTGCCAGCAGAATATGCCACGCACTTCTCTGAAGCGTTCTGCCGGGATAAAATGAATTCTCCCGGTCTGCAGCTGAAGGAGCCAAGCAGCGGTCTACGTCTTGAAGGATGGATGAAAGTGCCAAGGTATAAACATGAATCTTGGTGCCATATCAGGTGCTGAAACATTTGGAACGGTTTCTTATATTATCCTACCTCTTACAACGTGATACTTGGCACATGCCCGTTACAATTACTTATTACCACTGAAAATTGTCTTTCTAGAAGATGCATGCTTGTTTTATTCAGAATCCAAGCAGAAAATCCAACATGGCTTTGTGCTTATTTTCTTCAGGAATAACAAACGTGGGCAACAGGGCTGGGACAGGAAGTATATTGTCCTGGAGGGAACGAAAGTGCTCATTTATGATGCAGAAGCAAGAGAAGGTAACTTAGCATTTGTAGGAAGAACGTTTTTTTAAATCTTCAGATATTGTTTGGTGAGCTGAGAGACTTAAAGATTATTACTGTTTGCTGTGGCCATACCTAATTTAGCTAAATCTTCTACAATAAGGCAACACTCTTTTTCTAGATCCTTAAGTGTTTTACTAGCTGGTATGTCATAATGACCCAGCTGTGAAAAATTCAGTGTGTATCCACTTCATTTTGCTATCACAATTATTTTCCTGACATTTACTTTTTTGTTCTTCTTTCTTAATCTGTCTCCCCATTCTCCCTGCAGCTGGACAGAGGCCTCTGGAGGAATTTGAGCTCTGCCTTCCTGATGGTGATGTAACTGTTCATGGAGCTGTAGGAGCTACTGAACTTACCAATACAGCAAAGACAGGTGAGAATCTTATGTAGATGAGGTCAAATGGATTTCATCTGGCTTGCCATCAGTTGGCATTCTGTTTGTCTGCACAGAATTTTCTCCCTTTAACTTTCATTCTGTAACTGTGTAATTTTGAGGTTACCTCTATCTGAATTAGGTGAATAGGTCAGTCATCTAGATTTAGTTACATGTAGGCTGTTCCTTCTGTCATGGTAGTTGAAATGCTAATAATATAATCATCAAGCCAAATGGAAGTAAATTTTAAGAGTTTTGTAACATACTTAAAAGCACTCGGTTTATTTCAATTTCTTCTTTCAATGCTCTCTCTCAAGTGTGAAGTGTCGTAATTCATGCCACCATCATGCTCTAAGCAGAAAGTAATTAACTTAGAAATACTGCGGGGTGTATACAAACTCTTATTATGAAAAAATGTCGATGTTTTGATTTGTATGTATTGAATAGAACTGATGAAAAGATTATGTATGTCTTGACTTTAACATTAAAGGATACAGATTATTAAAAACAAAGGTTTCCATAACCAATTTTTACAGATTTTTCTTGAACAGTACAGGGAAAAGTTTAGTCAAGTGGCTGGTTTTGCTCCCCCACCCCACCC